TTAGAATTTCGTCTACACTTCACCTGAAGTGTTTGAGAGTAAAGGGAAGAGAGGATGATCAAGAGAAGACAGTTCAAAGAAGCGAGCATGAAGAGGCGTACTGAGCAAGAAGGTTAACAGCTAAACTCACAGGCAGCTGCAGGGATGAGCCAGCCCACACCACACTCTGTGGCAGGGCTCCTAAGACATCTGCTTGTCATCTCATTACAAGCACAGCACAAAATCACTTTCCAAATACAGAAAGTGCAAGTGTAAATACGCCTATATAAAAACATAAGCTCATCCGCTAATAACAGGATCATTCTTGCAAGTTTGGGACTTTGGGAAACAGAAATGGTAACTCTAAGAAATCAAATAACACCTTCGGAGGCCACAAACAGGACTTGAAATCAGGTCTACCAGGTGGTTTTACATTGATTTAATCTCTATCCTTTATTTTAAATGGTGGTAAATCACTAATTTCTAGTCTCAAAAGGAAAGGCTTTTCTGAATTATTATTGTAAGTAAATCATTATTAAATCTCTCAGCTCTACTCCCTAAAGTTACAGAGCCAGAATCTCTGGGATGTGTACATTCACCAAAGTCTCTGTTTCTACAGGTTCCCATATGTGAGCTCAATTCAGAGAATCTGAGTACTAGTACACTGCACCCCAGAATCACCTCCCCCACCCCGCTTTTCTCACTCTTGTCCTCTTTCCAGCTCTCCCTGGGCCTCTCTCACTGCTCTTTGAACCCATAACTCTTTTATCTATGAGCAGCTAGGATGACCAGACTGAAATTTAGACCTGAATGGCCAAGGATGGAAAGGGGGCAGAAAAGGTGCCCCCACAATTTTACTCCTTATAGGTATCAGGGAGGAAGAGACCACTACTGTTATCAGGCCAAGCAGTCCTTGGAGCTATTAGGAAAATGTTAATTGACATACTGCCAGTGCAAACCTTGGGTCTTGCTTAGAAACCAATATCTATATCAATAGTTCCTTGGGGGGGAATGAGTTGCAATCTCCAAGTGAATCCCACTGTTGTATACTGAATGTTGCCAGCACACAAAGCCAAGAACTCAATTCAGAATATTGAAATCTAGCTTCTGGACTTGCCCATCCAATCCTTTCTGGCCTTACCCTGTCACTTCTTTGGCATCTTGTGGAGTTACAATGGATATATTTTTAGGCAGCAACGTTGTTGAGACAATACTCTCACTGGCTTCACTAAATGATGACCTTTCTTTTTGCAAAGGTTAAGGGCCAAAAAAACAACTCTTTATAGGTTTAAATGGACCAATGAATCTCCTCTGCTCTCAATGACCATTCAAAATACATGCTTGGAGTCCAAAGCTAACATAGGAACTGTCACCAATAGATCCAATAATATTAAAACAGCCTCGCATCTCTAGTCTTGGTTACACGCTGGCATGGTACAATGCCACTGACATTTTAGTCCTTCCTTTTCAAATCTTGACGTTCATTTATTATCTATTCCCTCTGCTCAAAATCTCTACCTGCTCCCCCACATTCACACACTGTAAGCAGCATCAGGACCAACTGTAAGATGAAATGCTAAAAGGTCTTATTAATGAAAATCCCAGAGCCAGATATTGGGGTAAAATCTGAGAGATCAGAAAAGTAGAAAGAAGCCAGCCACATTCTTACCACTTGGAAATCCTCAGCCAAAGAGACCTACTTCCTGCATACTCAAGCCTATATGCCTTTCTGTTCTGCATCTCACTTCCTCTCTCTGTCCAACTACATCACTTCCTCTCTGTCTCTATAGACTTCCAGACCTCTATGGTTAGTGCTGGGATTAAAGGCATGTGTCACCATGCCTAGCTCTGTTCCCCAGTGTGGCCTTGAACTCACAGAGATCCGAATGTATCTCTGCCTCCCGAATGCTAGGATTAAAGGCGTGTGCTATCATTGCCTGACTTCTATGTTTAATATAGTGGCTGGCTTTTTCCTCTGATCCTCAGATAAGCTTTATTAGGGTGCACAATATTTTGGGGGACACAATATATCACCACAACCAACTCCTCTTTACTAAGTGTTTCTGTCTCCCAGAGCCTTTCCAAGCATCATTTTGTTTCTCACAATAAGCTTGAGGCAGGTCTACCTGAAATGGCCCCATTTCACAAACTAAGCCAAGTTAGCCATCTCTTGGGCTACAGGTAGAGAAGGAGGGGTTCACAAGAAGGCGGTGGCTGCAGTAAGTAGGGTGCAGTCTGTACAGAGTCTGGATGCTCAAGGCTATCAACTAATCTTGTAGGAAATGGGATTTTTCGTATGTGTGGTGCTTGGTTGGCCTTAATTGTCAACTTCCTACAGCCTGGAGTCATTGGAGAGGAAGCCCTAGAGTGAGTAGCTGTTTTTATCGGCTTGGTTTGTGGCTATGTCTCAGGGATTCTTTTGTCTTAATTGATATTGAAGGATCTAGTCCACCATTGGCACTACCATTTCCTGGGCAGGTGGTCCAGGGTGATAAAAAACAAAACAACAACAACAACAAAAAAAAACCCAACTAGCTAGATGTGAGACTAGAAGTAAGCCAGCAAGCAGCCTTCTTCCATGGTTCCTGACTCCAGGTTCCTGTCTTGAGTTTCTGCCCTGATTTCCTCAATGATAGATTGGTCCTGATCCTGAAAGTGTGAGCCTAAATGAACCTTTTCCTTCTGTAAGATGCTTTTGGTCACAGTGTTTTTATCACAGCAACAGAGATGCAAACCAGAACAGGAAGTAATTAGAGTTCTATAGTCTTCATAGAAGACAACCAACAAATGACCACAAAGAAGTTACCATTGAAAATCGGCGATATGAAAACCAATGCCAGCCTTGGACTACAGAGGCTATGACCCTACCTTCCACCAAGTGACTCAGGCAACTTGGGCTGTTCCAAGAAAACCACACTTTTAATACAGTTACAGAAGAGGGGTCATTTACAAATGAGGCTGAGGGACAGTGGCCAGAATTCCTCACGGTTAGAAGTCCTTGGGATTCTCAGGTCGCTAACAATCTTTGCATCTACACCAAGAAGTGGAGCCTGAGCCCTGGGGTCTTCTGTGCCCTCTATTCTTCTGTTCCCTTTCAGCTTGTGAATTAGTGCCACGCTATTTCAAAGAGGCTACCTACCCTCGGCTGTTCTCTCCATGGGCCACTCTGGTCTTTATGGGTCAAAAACCAAAACACTCATAAAAGACCAAGATAAAATGCTAGAGCGGTGGTTCTCAGCCTTCCTAATGCTGTGACCCTTTAATAAAGTTCCTCATGTTGTGGTGACCCCCAACCATAACATTATTTTCATTACTACTTCATAACTGTAATTTTGCTCCTGTTATGAATCATATTGTAAATATTTTTGGACACAGAGGTTTGCCAAAGGTGTTGTGACCCACAGGTTGAGAACCACTGTGCTTAAACAGCCTCACAATTCACTTGTTCAACAGAAGGTCTCATCCCATGTCCAGAACAAGAGCAAAGCTCCCATATTCTGGCCACAGGTGTCCCTCATAGCTTCCATACTTGCTCTGAATTCTGCCAAGATCATTTTCTCATTGTCCCTTATAACCCTCCCTCCAGACTTCTACCCCAATTCTCATCTTCTCTGTGGGGACTTCTCTACCCACCCCAAGCAAACTGGCGTCACCATCTCTGAACTGCTCTTGGCCCTCCTCCCCGCCCCCCCCTTACCACTCATCACCACTCAGTATAGGTTTCCTGTTAGTTCTCTTCTGGAATCTTCTACTAGAAAGGACCGAGGAGCCGAGGCGGTCAGTTTTCTTTGCCGACAGCTGTAAGCTCGGTGCTTAGCTAGCACCTACAGGCATAAGACAAATCCTGCATGCTTACCTCACAGGACGAAACAAGTGTTGCAACACAAACTCATACAGTTATGGCAGCAGCACCTGCTTGCCTTATTACAAGTCACACCGCTTCCTTCACAGCCTGGCCTAAGTTCCTCATCCTGGGCATGAAGTCTGTAATGCCCCAGACATCTACAATGTAGACATTCCTACTTCCTTGCTCTACTCAGCATGCTCTCTTTATTCTTAAATCCACCTCTCATCTTCGGTTGAGTTCCTGCCTTTTTTGCTGCTGAAGCCATTTACTGTGAGATATTTCCCACACAATCCCTGTCACTTACTACATCCAGCTGTGCACCTACTCACAACATCAAAACAGCTGCATCATACATAAGAAGGACGGCAAATGTCAAATCTGTACTTATCCCAGATGGACATAAATACAAACCAAAACACACCAGCAGTTAAACTGGATGCCTAATAAATCCCTCCCATGCTCGCTTTCAAGCATCCTCAAAGTTGGCTCTCCACACAAGTTGCAATGTTTTCAAACAAGAGATATGAAGAACAAAGCATCTATTGTAGAAATGATTAAGCACTACATTTAGCATTCCTCTAACTTTGAGAAACACTGGCTAACAAACAGGAGTAAATGAAACAAGTGACTGGAACTGATGAGCCTGGCCCTGTCCCCTCCTTATGAGATCCAAGGCCAGCATTAGCTTCCATGTATGGAAGAAGGTGCAAACGCTGACCTGCTCACCACACAGGACTGCCCCCCCAAGAGGTAAATAAATCAATACTGGAATATCCTCTAAACTAGAGCAACCGTCAAATGAACAGCACAGTGGCTAACAGGGGAAGTCCTTGTAATTATTCCACAGAGCACGGGGAAGCTTACTACGTGTTATTTTAAGATTTTTATTTATCTCTGTGTGTTTTTGCTCTGAGTGTGTGTGTGTGTGTGTGTGTGTGTGTGTGTGTGTGTGTTCACCCTAAGCCCAGTAGAGCGGAGTGTCCTCTGAAGCTGAGTTACAGGCAGTTGTAAGCCTCACAACCCAGGTGCTGGGAACTGAACTCAGGTCTCCTGGAAGCTCATGAGAGATGAGCAATTGCCCCAAAGCGTCCTCAACTTCCTCCTCCCTCCTTACCCCTTGAAGTAAGTTCAGAGTGAAAGAAACGGTTCTCTGCAGACATCTGCTGGAGTTTACCTTTGTCTGTATTGTGCGTAGGTTAACCAGATGGATGTCACAAGGCAAAGATGACTGAAGCAGCGCCAGTTCACTCAGCAGTTCAACAGCAGGGGAGGAGAGCTTGGCGTTGACTATCATGGGGAGGAACGGATGGTTGAGGAAGGACGAAGTCATGTGGCTGAGGAGGGAAGGATAACTGACTGGACTCTTCTTGTCTTCTTCCTAGAAGAAAAACCAAATGCCAAAACAAGTTGGTTGTGTTAGCACATGTCTATAATCCCAGCACTGGGAAATAGAAAACAGCAGCCTTGGCTAAATAGTGAGTTAGAAGCCAGCCTGGGCAACATGAGACCCTTTCTTAAAAAATACATATAAACAAAATAAAATTCTCAAAAGAATCTGATGTTTTCAGGGCATTAAAAACACTGGGGACATATGTAGACCATCTGTGACCTTTGAATTTGGCAAGTTACCACCAACTTCTTCTTTTTATTTTATTTTAAAACAGCAACTATTCTGCATGTTATTACATAGTTACTGTACATTTACACAGTACCCTTTTACTCAGTACAGTTTAAAAATACTTTCATTCTTTGCTAGGATGTATCTATACTTATTAGGCAACATTTCTATATGTCCAACATCAATTAAGTCTACCGTGGTTAGGGACATACATAAGCAAGACGACATAAAAAAATGAAAACTCAGTGCCTAGGTAGACCCTTAGCTAATAATGCCCAAGGAGTAAAAACAGGCATGGGAAGAATGGAGAGGAGAAAATGATTTAAGAAGGGTTCTTTGATCACCAGCTACATTTTATGCAAGTTTAATTTTTTATTAATGACTGATATCTTCAGGTTTTGCATCTTTTTGTGTGATACAGGACTCAAAGATTTGGCTACCTATCTGTAAGAAAAGACTGGATTCATAAAGATCTGGAGCTTAGAATTCAGAATGTCAGAATAGCATTGGACAGAAGGGTGCTAGCAAAAGGCGACAGTAGATGTCATTACAATTCAGACCATGGAGAGGAAAATACTTAATGGCATCAGAGGAACATTGCAGTATTAAAATGCTAGAAAAAATTAGTTCAGAAAGAATTGTATTAAAATGTATCAATTTCCCATTCTTTTTAAAATAAAGATTAAATAAAGCACATAAAATAATGTTCTCCAACAATAGTGCCATTTAATGCAGCTTGTAGAATAGCATGACTCAAAAGGGAACATTCTCGACAAGGCACTTAAATGGACTCCCAGAGCAAATGACTTCATAATCTTGGTCAGGATTGCTGACAAAATCATTCCTGAGTAATGGAAGATGAAAGATTCCAGCAGAAAGGTAAACAGGGCCTTCTTGGATTCAAGAGGGATGCGTTCAGGAAGCACTCTATGGCTTTGTGCTGTATTGGGGGAATCCTAGACACTGACATTCAGTGACAGATGAGGTACTTCACTGATGAATCACCTACTGAAAATGCTCTGCAGGCACACCAATCCTCCAAGCCAGATCAGTTCCCCTGACCCTGGTGCTTTCCTTCTTGGGGGGCCTTTACTCATGAGTCCTAGCCCACATCGACAGAATCAAGAGCTCCAAGTATAAGGCCTTGGCAGTATAGATCTGAGAAGGTAAACTATAAAGCTGTAGGTAAAACTCAAGGATTGAACCACAGGCTGCTCTGTGGATCTGAGCTAAGAACGGCACCACAGTCTCTTCCATGAAATCAACAAGGGTCAGAGTCAAAGATGTCTGACAAAATCTTGTAAAAGGAAACAGTGTTTTAAATGCAACAAGTCACAGAATTAAAGAACTGGCAGTTTGATTGTTCTCAGCACGACAAGTGAGTTAAGAGAAGGGTGTGGTTAGTTTTCTCCATAAAAGCACAATGAACAAATAACAGTGTTGGCCAGTAAGCAAAGTCTCAGCCAGGGTCCCCCATACATTTTGACAGTAACAAGGGGCTCAACAGGACACTTACAGATGAACCGCACACTCATTTTTAACCCCCTAGAAACGCAATCTTCTAAATTCCGAGTCTTGGGAGAAGCCCAGATTTCTAACACATATCTGCTGGAGAAGTGTCACCTGCTTGATTAAGTGGCGAGTGGTTCTGTCAGCCCTTCAGTTACTAGACCACTACTAAAAGCATTGTTTGGTTTCTTGTTGTTTGGAAGGTTTTGGATTACGGGAGTCCAGCCTTCTTTGGGCAGTCTGACATGAACGAGTTTCCAGCTTATGCTGATCCAACCATATGGAGCTGAAACCTTCTTGGTTGTGCTGGTCTTTGATCAGCAGCTGGACTTCCTGCGCTGTTCTCTGTCCTTTATCAGGCTCACTGGAGTTATCGGACCTGCAAGCATCAAAGGCTTCCACTTCGCTTAGTCAATTACGTGTAAGGAAGAGGTCTTCAGTAATTTGTTTGTTTGTTTGGGGGGGCTGTGCTGGAGATGGAACCCAGGGTCTGGTGCACATGATGCAAATTCCCTATCACTGAATGGCAGCCCAGCCTATCATCACGGGAGAAAGCTATCCTTGCTAACGCAATTTGACCTGACACATGGTAGGACCCTAATAAATGTGTGTGGTAGTAAATCTATGTATTTAATAAGCCATGTTTTTGTGGTCTACATGGCATTAAAAAGGTTTGTAAAAAGCTACCTCTTTAGAAATTCAGATTTAAAAGCCAACCATGGTGGGCAAGGTGGTGTGGACTTTTAAATCCCATCACTCTGGAAACAGAGACAGGTGGATCTCTGTGTGTTTGGGGCCAGCCTGGTCTATACAGAGTTCAGCCTGCCAAGACTATATAGTGAGACGCTGACTCAAAAAAACAGTAACAACAAAAAACACACAAAAGGTACCCCTAAACCTCCCTAACAGATATTTGAGTTTTGAGCAAGAAACCAGAATTTTGAGTTACGCAGGACCAGCAGTCCCACATAGACACCATCAGCTGGAACTGACAGGGAATGCTCAAGTTTACCAGAACATTCTAGTTCCCACTAACACAAACATTTGCTCTTAAATCTGATAAGCTCTTCATGCTAGGTTTTCCTTATATGAGAAGAACTGGCATCCAAGGCACATCAACAGGACTGCAACACCTGCATGGCTTCTATATCACCAACGGTCCTTTTCTATTGCAGCCCTTGCCAGAAAGAAGGAGGGGCATCAAAAAAAATCAACAAAATCAAATCTCCAAGAGGTGAACGGCAGAAACAATTTCCCAGTTCCACTGGCCATCAGCAGGGACGATGTCTCCATTGGTGCCCCAGATCTGTGTCTCCACTGCCTCTGCAGGAGAGCCAGAGAGCAGGACCCACCGCTCTCAGCCTGCCCAGTGTCTCCACAAGTCTGAAGAGTTCACCTTCGACTGCTCTCTTTCTTTCTTTTTTTTCTTTTATTTTACAATACTATTCAGTTCTACATAACAGCCACAGATTCCCTTGTTCTCCCCCTTCCTGCCCCCTCCCCCTCCCCCCAGCCCACCCCCCATTCCCATCTCCTCCAGATCAAGGTCTCCCCCGAGGACTGAGATTGACCTGATAGACTCAGTCCAG